GTAGTAGGTGAGGAAACTTTAATAATAAAAGACAGAATAATATCTAATCACAAGGTGAGCTGCAATGACAGATGACCGCTGAGGACCACAGGTGGCAAAATCTCTGTGGTGAGGAGGAATTCCCCCAGCGTCCGGACCGCTGGGAGGCTATGGTGTTTTTGTTCAATGTCTGGAGAACAGCACAGAGGAGTTGTAACAGATTCTACCTGTTTTTTCTGTCTGCCTAAGAGAACAGAGAAGATCTGACCACTGCATTGTAAGTGCCACATGGTCTCTGCAAAGACATTCTTGTGCTCTTGTGACTGTCTCTCTGATTTCTAGAATTTCATCACTCTGCTGCAATCCGAAACTGCAATATATTCAGTTATTTGTTAATCTGATTGGGGGATGTTGGGATAGACTATAGTAGGAAAGGATGTTCAGCGATACAGATTATACATGAACAAAAGTGTTTTACAATGGTGTCTGGTGAATGAAATGAACAGTTTGTCCAAAGGCTTTCTCAAGGTGAATCATCTTAAGGGGACTGCACAACTATTGTTTCTTTCAGTGTGTATTACTGTCAGGAATGGACTCAGCACTGGTAGTGGGACTCACCTGCCGTGTGGGCTGCAGTACCAGGGCTGACCAGCGGGTGCTCTCAGCAGCCAGAATCTCACTCCTGTAGTCAGCCAACACCTGGGGCTGATTGCAGGAGGTGTATTTAAGGAATGACCAGGCCTGTGATCAGGGCCTTGGTGTATGTTTCCCATGAACCCCGTACCTGGTATCCTGTGTTCCTGCCTATCTGCCTAGTTGCTGACCCTGCTTTGATCCTGACCTCTGCTGACCGTCTCCTGTTGAACCCCTGTCTTGCCTGACCATCCTTCTGCCTGATCCTCGGTACCGCACTGCCCGCTACCTGCTGAACCTTGCTTGTGACCCCGACCATTCTCTGCTTGCTCCTCCTGTACCACGCTGCCCGCACGATACCGACCCAGCCTGTCTGACTACGCTTACTTCACCCGACGGTCCATCCATCCCGCACGGATCACCTTTAGTAAGTCTGCCTGCCTCTTCCCATCAGACTCCGTTCCTGCACTCCCCTGCTAGTACTCTCTACCACAGCCGGACGCACTCAGGGGTTGCGACCTGGTTCCAGTCTGCACCAAGTCCATCCCCACCATCAGGGGCCCTGGTGAATAGCAGGCTGGGACTTAGACCCCCCGCCCTGAGGAAATCCGTGCTGTGGGCTGCTAGAGACACTGCCAGGCGGCACCTGACAGTACCTTACGGTCTGCCTGACCATTCCACCTCTCCAGCCTGACTACGCCTGTGTTCCTGAAGCCTGCTACTTTCCTGTGTCAGTCCACACATTTCTGGTCATACCCGGATCCCTAACAATTATCTTAAAGAAAGAGTACATAGGCTACTACTTGTTGCTTTGGAAAGAAGTTTGTTTATTGTGTTCAGGGCCCAAGTGCAGACCCATGAGCTAACCAATGGACAAGTTTGTTACTTCTATAGTTTGCTTATCTAGAAATTGTAAAATTAATTTTATTCATTTGACATTTGTTGATGTTCTAATGCCAATACTATGGTTCCATTTTTCATTATTGAACTTGTTTCTTTGTTTGTATTAACTACTTTTCCTATTTTATTTGTTTTATTATTATTTATTTATAGCTGCAAATCATTTAACATTATCTGTCTCACTGTGCCACAGAATTTCAAGGGTGTCACCAGGATCAGGTAGGAGCTGTACCCACATAATATCAAAGCCAACACTAATGGGTGCATTTCATTTTTGTTCTTGGGTTTTGACATGCTTTAACACCATAGTTACATGTTTTAGCTTCAAAGTTAAATAGTACAAAATCCAAACTGTATAGGGCTTTTGCCTACAATCTCAACAATTTTGAATGCACAAACATTTTAATTTTTATTATTATTTTATCAATTTCATCTTATATGTAAGGTTTGTATTATTCTCAAACAATAAATAGCCTAATGGCCTCTCACATTCTGAATTTATAGCAGTGTTTACCTACGAAGATCAATTTTATTTCTGGATTGTAAAAGCTAGAGAGACATTTCATGAATCTTCTGTTGAGTAGGATCATGTATAATATTTTAGTCTTAAGAGATTAAAATGAACTTGATGAGTTTTAATAAAAGGGAATAATGAGATTACACTTGCTTGAAAAGAATATTATTTTCTGTTTAAATATATAAGTATACAGTATGTAGTTTTATAGTCAAAAAGTAAATTTTATATATCCTTTTGACAAACAAATCTTATAGGAAGATGTTAGTGGATGACTTTGTATATAATAATACAGCAACAATTGCAATGCAATGTTGTTCCTAAAAAAATAGTTTAATGCAGGAAATCTTGAATAGTTTGAAAGTTAACTGTTTCTCATGAAATTAAGGAGCATTACATATTAATTAATGTAAATGCATCAGGAGAGTCCCAGGTGTCAGATGCCTTGACATTCTTATGGTGCCAACCATATGGTGTCATTCCTTTTTTCCTCTATCCATCTTTTATTCCTCCATTCATCCTGTGCTTACATGGTCAAATGATCCTGATCACTATACCAACAGTTTAAGTATTATTGGGTCCACCCATACCTAAAGGGTCTTTGGTAAGTCTATTGGTCCCAAATAGACATGTGCAGAATGGAAAAATGTGGTTAGTTTCGTTTTGGATAGATTCATTATGTTACTTATTTCATTCCATTGATTAATTTTCGGAAATTCATTTAGTTTAATTTAGTTTTGTTTTGTTTATTCATTTTCAAACGAATTCCAAATTTTCGGAACAATTAAAGTTTGAATCAATCGAAAATCGACCAATCCGAATTCTGTATGAAGAACAGCTGGTTGACAAGGAGCCGGCTGGCAAGCAGGCAGCTGCATCCTTAACAAGCGATGACTCATCTGCTGTCAGCAGGATTCCCCACTGTCAGCAGAATGTAAACAAAAACAAAGTTCAGCTTAAAAAAAACCTCACAAAAACAGCATGGGTACCAATTTAAGGGTAAAGACAAGGCTCCCACTGTCTCCCCCTGCTTTTTAATTTAGCCTTAGAACCACTAGCCTCGCTTCCCCTTTCGCACTAGCTTTATTTGCAGATGAATATTAATATTTACTCTTTCACAACCCGACCTCTAGACTTACAGTATATTCAGGTCCATCTTTCTCGCAGATTTTCGGAGTTTGTCGGGTCTTTAATTTTTACGTAAAGTGAGTTCTTCCTTATATATCATGCTAGAGAATTCCGGTATTGGGCCCCCAATCCATACCAGGCTCTTCTGGTCTGGTATGGATTTTAAAGGGAACCCACCCACAGACCACCACAAGGCAAGGAGTGTAGAGAAGAGGCCCTTGTCCCCATCACATGGAGACAAGGTGCTTTGGGGGGAGGAGCCCCTTGCCCCAAAGCAACCTCCCATGTTGAGGGCATGTGGCCTGGTATGGTTTGAGGGGGAGATTGTCCACTCCCTTTCCTGGCCTGTGGGGCTACATGCTCAGATAAGGGTCCGGTGTGGATTATGGGTGGTGGACTCCAAGCCATTTTTTTTTCATTTTGGTGTGGAGTTTACCTTAAAATCCATGACAGACTTGAAGGACCTGGTATGGGTGGGGAAGGGCCCCCCATGCTGTGTTATTTTATTTTATTTTTTTTTTAAACCAGCATTTGTTTTATTTACATTCTACTGACAGCAGGGAATCCCGCTGACAGCATATGAGCCATCGGTTGTTAAGGGTGTGCATGCCCAGCTCCTTAACAACCAGCTGTTAGCAATTAGTTTGAATTCCTTTCATTCGAATGCTTCAAACATCCAAATGAAACAAATGAATTTCATTTGATTTGTTGTCAATTAATTTGGATTAGTTGAAATTTGTCACTATTGTTATAACCAAAAATACGTCCGAAGTTAGATTGGACCGAAACAAATTGTACATGTCTAGTCCCAAACACTTGTGCATCCCTCCTATATTGTAGAACCCAAGGTTTACCTTCTGCTACTCTTCTCTAGTTTAAAGGAAGTTTATTCACACTTGGAAAAGGAGACCCAACATAATATGCAGCTAAGCTGTGTTTATTGATGCAAAACAAATGGGAAGTTATAAGCTGAAAGGTAGCATTGGAGTGGAATGATAACATTACCAGAAACGTTACTATGCTCAGCATGGCTTCACTTTGTGTGAGATTTTAGGTTTTAGGCACACCCCCAGATGATGTTTTTAAAAATTGACCATATTTTTACTTATTTATTTGTAGATAAAAATGTAGCGAAAGGAACAAAGACATGCTTGCTATCATAAAGTTGCTTAGAGTTTGAATATGAACACAAAGTGACTTAGGAAATTTGTGCCACTGCAGAAATGAATTGCCTACATGACTGGTATTTAGTTTAAAATTGCTAACAGCATCTACAGTTCTGATTAAGCTGTTTGATTTGTTCACATGTGGAACTGCATGTTTAACCTCCCTGGCGGTATGATTATTTCAGATTTTTGGTGCTGAAAGCGGTATAATTATTTTGCATGGAAATTTGGCGTTTTATATTGTAGGCCAGTAATCTTTAGGAATAACTCACTGAAATCTGTCCTAACAAGAGTCTAATAAACATCCCGGGTAGGATAAAACTTGAAACACGAAATCATAAATTATAATTGAATAAATAATCATAAAAAATAATAATATAATAATAATAAATTTAATAAAATAATATAATCAAACCAAAAACACTGAAATTTGAAATATAGCTCCAAGTTCGCACATCACTGAGCAAAGTCGCAAAATCGATTTCAGTGTCTGATGACAAATTTCCCCACGAATAATTATCACTCAATTCTGCAAGTGGCTCTGATTTACTATCGCTGTTCTCTAGCTGGTCTAAAACCACTTTTGACCTAAAGGGACGCTTTTTAGACGTTTCTCAGTTTCCAGGCAGAAAGAATGGTAAAAATGCAGGCAGGGCACAGGACAAAGCACTAGGGACAAAATGTATGTGAAATGGCTTGATAGAGTAATGTTTTACTATGTGATTTTAGTGATTTTAGTGAATGTCACTTTTTGTAATTTTCAAATTTCCCGCCGTTCCGTCCCCCGTACGTCCTGATGCTCGCAGGGGACAGAACCCAGATGACAGATGCCGGCATCCGCCGGGGACACTGCAGGACAGGACAAGGTAAGCGATCGAGGGATTACTGAGCAATGCCGCATGGTAAGCCCGACTGTAGCTCGGGGTTACCGCTTGTGGTACTGAAAATTTACCCTGAGCTACACTCGGGAATACCGCCAGGGAGGTTAAATATTTATGTGAGCAAGTGTTTGGCCGCAGGTGCCCAAACAGCACATGGCCATTAACAATGCTGCTTTTTCTGCTTTTTCTATTGATTGTTTGATTTTGCACTTTATATGCTACTTTGCTCTTATAGTCGGTTGGAGTACACTTATTTAACTTTTATTTAAAGACAGGATTGTCTTATGTTTTTATTTGTGCATGGGTGATGAAAATAGAATGTGTATTTTTTCTGTAAATAGTTCATTCAATTTTTAATTAGTAAGTTGTAAAAACATACTTTACAATAATGATAGAGACTTCAGATTGTTACTGAAGTATACATTTGGATACCCCTTTCTGTTGCATCCAAGATAGTGGTTGCCAATTAGCTCCTCTGTCAGTATTGTATTTATCAAAGTTGTTCTGTAACTACAGCTGACAGGAATAGAGCACCTGTCTCATAAAATATCTTGTCATTGACAAGATACACATTGCAGACATCTACCTGGTGTATTACTTAAGATAGATGATGTCATGGTCTAAGATCAGGCTCAGAGACCGGTAGAGAGAACCCCAATAATCCAGCAGGATAAGTACAAGAGCAGATCACCCTGGCAGATGACACGGGCTGACACCAGGGCTTCTGATGGTGGAGATGGGTTTTGTTGCATGTTAGTGCCAGGTTGCAGCTCTCAGAATCGCCCCACCAGAAGGTGAGCAAGTCGGGGTCCAATAGCAGGCACAGCAGGTAGGGATCAAGCAGAAGCATTGTCAGTAAAAAGCCAGAGGTTGGTAACTAGTTGTTGCAGGTTGGGTCTAGCAGGAGTGTAGTCAAGGAACAAGCCAAGGTCACTAAAAATGGTTGCAGGTTGGGATCAAGCAGAAGCATAGTTGAGGAACAAGCCAAGGTTAGTGACAAGTGGTGGTGAGAATACGGGCAGCAGCAGGAGCAAAAAAAAAGCAACATATTGGCTGGAGAAGAGCGCAATAATCTGGCAAACAGGAAGTGAAAAGGCATAGGTTTACATAGGAAGTTCATGGGAGGAGCAAAGAGTTCAAAGCTCACCAGAAACAAGATAGAAATTAAGTTTATCCAAGGAATCAGGCAGGGTGCCGTCCTACATCTCAGGCAGGGTGCCGTCCTGCATCTCAGGCAGGGTGCCGTCCTACATCTCAGGCAGGGTGCCATCCTACATCTCAGGCAGGGTGCCGTCCTACATCTCAGGCAGGGTGCCATCCTACATTTCAGGCAGGGTGCCGTCCTACATCTCAGGCAGGGTGCCGTCCTACATCTCAGGCAGGGTGCCGTCCTATATCTCAGGCAGGGTGCCGTCCTACATCTCAGGCAGGGTGCTGTCCTACATCTCAGGCAGGGTGCCATCCTACATCTCAGGCAGGGTGCCATCCTACATCTCAGGCAGGGTGCTGACCTACATCTCAGGCAGGGTGCCATCCTACATCTCAAGCTGGGTGTCGTCCTACATCTAAGGCAGGGTGCCATCCTACATCTCAGGCAGGGTGCCATCCTATATCTCAGGCAGGGTGCTGTCCTACATCTCAAGCTGGGTGCCATCCTACATCTCAGGTAGCTAAGCAAGAAAAGCTATTGCCAGGCACAGAAGAGGTCATGGGTTCAGATCTGAGGCCTGACAAATGAACTTCAATAGAGTCAATTTCAACAGTGCAGAAAATTGGAGTACAGAGTCAATTAACTTAGAAAATTCTATGCACAGCAGCACAAAATGGAACATGTTGTTCAGGTATTATTTGACTTTTGCTCATTTACCATGTAAACCTACAGCTAAAGCTAATATAACAGCTATGGGTAGAAAACTAATTTAAACTTGCTCAGGAAACTGAATAGAATACAAAATATGCAGATGAAATAGAAATGTGAAAGCTTTATTACTAGCCAAAGGATTAGTATTTCTATCCATTCAGTCTTAAGATTTGCCACACAGCACAATCCTGACCAGTTGAAGTGGGAAGCTATTTTTTTTTCTCTCCTGCAGTTTCACTTTCACATACAGGACTCCCCTCCACTCCCACTCTGTGACTGGACAGTAAGCCCCCTGGTCACATCAGGTGCGACTTGGCATGCGATTTGCATGCCAGGTGACTTGCAAATCGTATGCCAAGTTGCACCCTATTGTCTGCTATTAGAGTGGTCATATCGGTGCGTTTCCGACATGGTCGTATCCACATCGATTTCTAAAGAAGTACATGTACTACTTTTGTTGCGATGATTTTGGCTTTGATGTTACCGGGGGTTAAGCGTAGAAGCATCACACCAATCAGCTCGTCTCTCTGCTCTCTTCTTCTATCAGCATTCTGAAGCACACATGATAAGCTTTCCATGCCTATTGTCCATCACCTTACAGCAGACTACAACAGACTAATGTAAAAGTTCAGATTCGGGTACTTACACTGCTTGCATTTAAAAAAAATAATGATGTCTTAATGATTATAAATTAGTTTCTGTCTTTTATACTCAGTTTTAAAGTAATCATTCATTAGTTTTCATAAAGCAAAACGGGGGGGGGGGAGTGCACCCAGAATGAAAGCAATAAGCCAGATTAAAGTGATTCTAAAGGTGTTCTTTTTTTTTTAAACAGCAAGCATGTCTATACTTAAATGCTGTGTGCAGTGGTTTTGCACAGAGCAGCCCGGATCCTTCTTTTCTTGGGTCCCCCGCAGGCTCTCCTGGCCCCTCCTTCCTGTGGGTGCCTTGCTATGGGGCACCCACTGCTCTGTGTATCCATTCAGACATAGAGCCGCTGCTTGGCCCCTCCTCTTCTCTCTTCGCATTGGCTCTCTGGCCGTGATTGACAGCAGTGGGAGCTAATGTCTCAGCCAATGAGGAGAGGGAGTCCCAGGCTAGCCAAGACTCCAGTGCACTATACTTGGCACTATATTTCAAATTTCAGTGTTTTTGGTTTGATTATATTATTGAATTAAATGTATTATTATTATATTATTATTTTTTATGATTATTTATTAAATTATAATTTATAATTTCGTTTTTCAAATTGTAACATACCCGGGATGTTTACTAGACTCTTGTTCGGACAGATTTCAGTGAGTTATTCCTAAAAATTACAGGCCTACAATAAAAAAACTACATATTTCCATGCAAAAAAATGTACCGCTTTGAGCGCAGAAATATGGACATAATCAGACCTCTAGGGAGGTTAATGTTGATACTGAAGAGTTTGCCTTGAAAATATGTAATTTCTAGGTAAAAAAATGTTAAATAAATGTTCTTTTTTTGAAGAAGCTAAAAGTAAGAATAAAAGTTAATTGAGCATGTATATAGCATCAGTAAAGTCTACATGATGTTTAGTCATTTTATATCTTTACTTTTGACTGAGTTTTTGTAGTCAAGTGCTAAATTTCACAAGGCAGACTTATTTTTTGAATAACCTTGCTGGTTTTATGTATGTATGCTGAAATGGAAATTAAATATGACTGCATAATAGAAGCCATGCTGGTATTATTATTATTAGCAAATTACTGAAATGTGGTTTCAGGCTGTAGGTAGTTCAATTGTATTCTCATGATTTTGCCATTAAATGTATTAGCTGCACTGCTGGGCCTGATACTCCATTCAAGCCGTGAAAAGAGCAAAATTGCAAAAAGTCTGCAATTTTTAAAATGGTGTGGGTAATTTTGACATTTGTAGCTGAACTGAATATTTACAGTACATTGTTATTTCTCTGTCTTTTTATTGCTTGCTGACATTATTGAATCTAACAGCTTATTCCATTCTCCACCTTTATTTCCTTTCAGTGTATCCACTAAAATTATTGTGTTATTTCCCTCCTCATTTATTCCACATGAAAGTTGAACTTCAACAGGTAATGTTCTACTTGGAAATAAAAACACATTTTGGCTTGTAATGTTGTCTCCTCAAATGCTCTCTGCGATTTAGAAAAGAGCAGCTTAGAAATCAGGATATACAAGTGCCATATGCTAATTATATATAATGCTTGTCAGATGAATACTAAATACGCATTTCATATGGCAAAATAAACAATTTATTTATGTCATACGTGAATGCTACAGATAATGAACTTGTTGCCACTTATTTCTTGTGGTCAGTCACAAAATCCTATGTGACAGGAGCCTGAATCTGTTCAGCCCATTTTTTTAATGTAAACCTGTCATAGGACAGACAGGAGGAACATCATTTCCAACCATGTTTTAAAAGTGCTAGGTGCATGATCCTTTGGCCTTATTAATATGAGTCAACGACCCGGAAAAAGTATGCAGATTAGCGAAGTCAGGGTATCATTTGAATTTCATATCTGCATACTCTAGATTTCTCAAATTGCTGGTTTCCTTTGAAGCATATTATAGTCAAAGCACAAAAATTTAATATATTGCAACATACCCATCCTTAGGTTCCATGTACACTGCAGCTGATAAACTCACGTTCAGGAGCTTTTCTGCATTTTTTTTTAACAGCCCCTGAACTCTCCCTAATGTTTTCCTATGTGTCCATGTACACTATGTCGTTTACAGGCAGTTGAGTATACAGTTGTTTTTTTAAATGCACCAAACTTGCGTTCAGGAGTAGATTTTATCAGCGTTTCAAACGCCAAATGCTTGTAAACGCGGTGTTTGGAAAATTTTTTTAACTCTTCCATTTCCAGATGCTGTCCAGAGCATTTTTTCATCATGAAAACCGCATGCAAAGCGTTTCCCGGTACTCAAATGGACCTGGTACACCTTACTTTGAGGTTTCGCATGAAAGAAAATATGTTAGACACTGCTGCAATAATTTCTGCACAGAAATGAGCTGAAACACATCCAAACACCACAAAGAAAAAACAGCTAATCTCAACAAATACTGCTCTCTCTGCTTCTGCTTTCTCTATTTCTCTAAAAATGTCTGAAATACTTAATTTTTTACTGTTTTTCTGTGCATTCTGGGCTTTTTGGAAGGTCTCCTGAGGTTATCTTTAACCAATTCAATACCGGGCAATTTTACACCTTCCTGCCCAGGCCAGTTTTCAGGTTTC